GCTTAGGGTTTGCCGCTTGGTGGATAAAGTGGCCAGGGTCAAAGTAGTCCATTTTCGGTGTCGGGACTGCATGTGGTTTATCTGCTGTCCAGTAAGAGGTTCGCTAGGCTGTGTTACATACGGTATGTGTGGTCCAGGTTTTAAGGGGTGTAGGATTCTAGTTTGGCGCAACTAAGTGGCTAAGCGCTCTGTGGTGTAGAACTTCAGGTTCAGACAGCTTCCCATCTCAGATTCCATTGCCCATAGGGCGGAGGGTAAATGGGAGTTAATCATGCTTTATCTACATTGATGGGGTCAAGGTGTTCCTAGTTTGTACGGAGCTATTCATTTTAGATTCCCACTCAATGGTGCAAGCTTCTCAGCAAGGCTGTGTACATACATCTCCCGACGAGTTCACAGCAACACGACAGCTGTGGCTTTCGAGTTTCGTTGCAAAAAAGCGCGCCTCAAGAATAAACGTGCTTCTTCCCAAGAAAAGACAACTCTGATCATATTGCGTGAGGCTTAGGGATGCGATCCTGGCTTTCTGAGGCTGAGCACACTTAAGATACTGTTCCTTGTGAAGTTTGTAGTGGGTTGCCATCTAAACAGTATGTACCCTGCCCCGTTTCAGGATGATCAGCAACAACCTTCTTGCTAGAAGGGTACACCTTGCTTCATTGCTGCCTGCAGGATTCCTCGTATGATCCTGATCAATGCTCTTTGGCCCTCTAGTTAGCGGTAGAATCCAATGTCATGGTGCCATGCCATGGGGTGGCTAACTTCCACACGGGTGTCCACGCAGGCCAACTCCCAGCAAGAGCAGCTCACACCTTATGCGAAGTCAACAACTCCACATTTCATCCGAGAGCGCAGCGACTGTAACGAGGCAACAGGAACGCCTCAAAGGGCTCGGTTTTGGGGATCGACTCTACCGCCTTCTTGCTGCCGCCATGCCGGGGGAAGATAATGGCGGAAAGGCGACTTGGAAATAACATCACAGCTGGAGGATCTAATAAAGGACATGGGTCTGACCTGCACCTGTCAGCTCGGCTTGCTTTTTCGCAGAACGCCTGGAAGACTTACTAGTAACTAGACTCGACGAGGTCTATGTTGGTGGTTTGAACTTCCAGACCACCAGCGAGGGACTCAAGGCGCACTGCTCAAAAACGGTGCAGGGAAGATGTATCCTTCGTAACGCTGTTGTCGTAAGGTTGGAGGGGTCTAAGGGGATGGTGTGCACGAGCGAACTCAATCTATGACATACAGGCCATACAAGGGCGGCGTTTTCAGCGATGCAGGAGAATAACGGCAAGATCTGCCTACTCTGCTCCCTGCAGAGTGCAGTGTTGCGCCATGTGGCTTGCCTTATCCGCCTCCTAGCCTTAGTGCAAGGTGAATGGTCCGTTAGATGAATGCAAGAAGGGCAGCACGTAGAAGGTTGCACAGGCCAGAAATGCTGCGTAGGCCACGCAGGTGACGCAGGTGGTTGAAGAGCCCAGGCACGTTAATTCGAGAACTTGCATGGGGCAAAGCAAGGCTCATATCATCCTTATGAAGCAATCAGCGGAGGAATTTGAATGTGCACCGTTTGGACTGAATTGGGCTCTTCCAGACCCATATCTTCTTCATCAGGTCATAGTCCTGACTGCTTGAGCCTTGCAGCGTGCTGATCACCATGATCACAGTATTCGTACTGTTACCAGCAGCTGGATTGTTATCGATTTATAATAAACCGAGCTAAATTACAATGGATAGGCACACTTTGAGCAGTTCGGCGCCATCTCGGACTGCATTGTCAGCATCCAAGCTGTGTGCTTGCTCCTGTGCTCTGCGAGCTTCTTCCAGTCTTGGTGTTCAGAGCCCTACCAGAAAGGGACATCCAAAAATCAAGGTGATGACCGAACGGGACACCGGCCGATCCCGGGGATTCGGATTTGTCACCTTCGAGGCCTTTTGCGTCGCTTTCCCCAACCCAAGCTAGAGTTAAGGTAGAGTTTGGGGGCTCTAAGGTGTATCGACTACGTCGAGATACTAAGTCCACTGCGGCTATGCGCTACGCGCACGGCGCCACGACAAAGTAAACATTTGGCCATTGACAGATCAGGACATCATTATTGACTGGCAAGTACCGCTTTTGGGGCTTCGCTGACTCCGTTTTGGTCGTTTTAGTAGAGGGTTCTGTCTCCCGAGCTGTCACAAGGAGTCTACTGACACAATTTCCCTACATCATGACATCTCCGGAAGGTAGCTTGACGGGAGCCTTGCAAGACTCTTGTTCTCATGATTAGGGTGTAGGCTTGGCATTCCATATTCATCCTTGTCCAAGTAAAGAAATACTTTTCAAAGCTCCTACGATTCGAATGAGACGCGCATTTCTTTTCAATGCGCTGGCCGCCCAACTCCTGGCATCAGTCTCACTGGAATACTAGTAGCAGCATAGCGAGTCGCAAGAGCAAGCATGTCATGCTGGTTGTGCTTTCTGCAGCAATGCTAGCAAGTGATCTTGGCTAGGACCCTGGCTCCGCGAATGCAGCAATTACAATGAACCATAGCTGCAAGCAGTGTCCGGGGTTTCCCAGGCTTTATGGCAGGTGAGCAGCGCTGGTTGGGAAGTACTTGCCTGGAGGTTTTCACTCAGAGCAACCCATATGAAGCTTGCACCTTTCGAGACGAAGCCCACCTTGGCTTGAGGAGACACTCTGCATGAAGAAGTCTTCTCAGCTTTGTTTCAGGCAGCATCTGCAGCCAGCAGACAAATCAACTACCTATCCTCCGTGACCCCGAATCAGCATCCCTGTGTTTTGGTTCTCTCGCTTCCCTTTATTGCAATGTGCCTATAGGTTTGTCGCCACTACGCCTTTCCAGCTATGCCGATTTCCACCCTCAACCGCAAACTAGAAATGGACAGACACAAGAACTTCCGGCTTTGCTACCAACCCATATCAAAAGCATTGGGCTTGCAACAGACTTGGGCGAAATTTGAATTGCCCGGCTTGTGCACAGCTTTCTGTCTGGTTGGCATGCGTGTGTGAAGCACTTGCGACAAAGTCATGTCACGGCAGAGCGCGACAAAAGCGTGTATGTAATCGGTCTTGCAGAGGGGGGAGGGCTGTGACCAAACAAGTTCTGATGCACCACCTTATAAGCCTATAGGCATACGTGTTTCTCGTTTCGCTTGGGCTTTCCAAGGCCGACGCACCAGCTTGATGGGAGGACGGTCTCTGTGAAGAAGGAGCCGCTAGCTGAAACCACACAATCGTGGAATGCAACTTGAAGAGAGGATCGGAGAAGGTTAATGTGACTTCAGGGCAGAGCCCAAACAAGTCGAGTAATGGTTGCTTCTTGATGATCAGAACAATGGATGTCACGCTTGTTGCTGGATGACCCTCAATTTTCCTCGTTGCTTCAATGGGTGTTGTCAGCATCCATCGCCAGCATTTCAATACTACCCGTGCTGTGTTGTAACGGGACCATGCCTGAAACCCCGGCACAAAGTGCCCGACAGCCTGGTCTGCATGACAGCAATGGCAAGCACCAGGCCTACAAATCTGGAAATCAAGGAAGCAATAATGTCAGCAATGTTCTTGTTGTGGAGGCACTGTCAGCAGCAGTGTGAAGATCTTTTTGCTAGCCACTCCCTGGAGCGAGAGTCCAGCATCAAGTGTAGACCGACAGTTCTGCCAGGCCATGAGGGAGGGTGCCGGAGGTGGCAAGGGCATGCCAGGGTCCCAGGGAGAAACTCCAGAAATGCCAGCAGGAAATACGGTTTGAGATGGTTGAGCTCGGGCTTGGAACATAATAGTTTTAGCTTCTCTACACGGCGACGTACCGTTCATGATGGCATAGATGCAGATACTGCTCTGTTGGGGGCTTGTAAGGATTGTACAACGATGGCGTGGGAGTACACTAGCTGGGCGAAGAATTCTATTCTGTCAAGACTCATGTGGAAAGTTCTGGCTGTTGCTTGCGGAGTCACTGGGACATAAGCCGTGTAGCTGTCATTCGAATAGCACTTGTGAAGGATTACGGCTTTGACATGTCCAACCGATAGGTGGTTCGCAACCATAATGGAAAGCCCGTGTGAGGGATCCGCTCGTAACCTGGGTGAAAGTGCGGCTTTTGGAATAGAGGCCCTGATGATCCTTTGTTCCCTGTTGGTAAGGATACTACTATCTTGGACCACATTTCAACCACAATTTGTATATACCATACGTTTGGCCTCGGCTACTTAGTAGAGTGGGCGCCCGTGAATATGCCCATTTGGACGATTTTCACACAAGGGAATCTTGCTGCTCAGTGTGTGTGTGATCAAGCGAGTGCTCGAGCGTTCACTGCTGTGTGGGCTCAGGAAGCTGCAGGCTCAGTTAGGCAGGTACCTTTGCGCAGGCAGAATGGCCAATGAGAAAGCCAGAAAGAACCATTAGGCAAGGCGGGAAGTCTGAGTCATGTTTCCAGTTTGCGGGTTGTTGGTTTTGCCAGGCCGTGTTGGAGGCCGACCGCAAAGCCAAGTCCTTTGCCAATTTGGTTCAAAGGAGTCATCCTCAGGAAAAGCTGTTGTTCATGTTCGTGCTTGGAAAAGCGTTCCGTGTTGAGGACGGTGCTGCGAAGCATTGAGCAGGAAAATGTCCGAACCCTTAGCGGTGTGTAGATTCGCGTTTTTTGGCCCAAGTGAGGGCCGCCAACATGCTCTTAGACAGCGATGCTGCGGATGGCCTTGACGTCATGGGATTGCGTGGCACAGGTATGTTTTCTACATTTTCCTACCGTACGTATCGATTTCCGGTTTCTTCTTGTGTAGTTGTTGCAGAAGTCCGCAGGCATCCAAAACTGCCAATGCGCAGCGGCTTGGTCTTGATTGCAGCGTTCCAGCAGGCGTGCACGCATCACATGTGCAGGTTTGCCGAAGCCGTCAGCATCGTCCTTCACGAGGAAGTAAAGGAATGAAAAGTTTGATGCAGACTTTTGATTGCCTGCATGCGCATGAGGTTCGATTCCGTGCACAGGCATACCGGGTGAAGATGTTTTTCAATGCATGGGCCAACGCTGCCCAGCTCGGCAAGGCCACTGCAAATCGTCCGCTGCTTCCCGCGCAGGGGGTGCACTGCAGTTTGCATGGGGGAAGGTTGAGAACGAAGGCGTGGATGTGTGGTTCTCGGAATTTCAGGCACGGCTTATCGGCTGCATGGTCAACATTTTTTGCACAGCTGATGCGAACCTTGCAGGAATGCATACGCCTGCTTCGCGTGCTGAGCGGGTCGAGCTCTTGCCACTTCCGAACAAGCATTTTCGATCCACAGGCTGTGACTTGTACCGCGTGACCAACGATGATCGACTCAAAGGGTCGTCTTTCTGCGGCTTCGATGCAAGAGCTTGGGAGCTCTCAGGGAGGTTTTGTGTGATTTTGAAGATTTTGCTGAGGTCTACCGTTCCGGAGTTCAGGGATTGGGGGCTCGTTTGAGGCGGCCATGGCACCTGTATAAACTCACGCAACTTTTCTACGGAACACCAAACATGCATGCTTCTCCTAATGTGTAATCTTCAGGGCTTTGCCCCTAGAGGCTCGAGCCTTAGTGCGGAACTGCTATGCGCACATGTCTTAGCTCAAGTTGAAGCTAGAGCCATAAACATTGCACAGATTGAGCCACTGCTACAGATTTTGAGGGCGTTGTGGCATTGGAGTGGAGCGGAGTGGAGCGGAGTGACCGTTGTGAAGGTTTTTTGAGCATTTCACTCATGCCGCGCTTGGCGCCCCAGGCTGAGGCGGAAGCAGCGCGCCTGACAGGCTGCGACTGATGGGAATGCGAGCAGCGAATATAAGGTATGAAAAGAGTTTGCGGGTTATTGGGGGCCCGCTTTATCTGCGAAAATTTGGGAGGAAACTTACGCGATTGATCTCACACCTCCAAGTATATAAGCCCAAAACCTTACAGTCCAGGCCTTATCCAGGCCTTCATCGCAGGCCCAAGAAGAACTTCCCACCCACCCCACAAACTTCGACAGCGTGTGCCCGAGTACTGCCTGAGTACTGTCTGCTGCGAATGTTCTGCTGCAGCTGTCTGCTCTACCAAATAGGCCGAGCAGAAACAACTCACCGCATCACGTTGTGCAGGCACCATGTTCCATTGAATTCAGACCCTCAGTCCCTGCAAAGCATTGTGGCCCGCATCTTCGATGCGGCATCTTGAGGAACGTGCAAAATGCGGGGGTCTTAGGGATCAGGTTGGTCGCTCGTGGGCATGGCGTGCAGTCTGCAAATGCCCTGTGCCTATGCTGATGGCAGGTATGGCCTATCTTTTCGACATTTTCAAGGATTTTGGCAGCACGGGGCTTGGCTGGATGGTCACAGTATGCTCAGCAGTCGCATGCTTAAGAATGATTTTGCCTGCGCGCAAAGACGTAGGCCGAGCCCGGCGGACATGGCGGCGCTGTGGGACCTGGCTCAGCAGCTGACACAGAAGAATGCGGAGCTGCAAGAACAGTAGCTCGGCATGCTCAGCTGTTTTTTACTTGTTTCTGGACACCCTTGCCTCTTGGCTACGCAGTTCCGCGTGTTCACGGCCGAGCTGCTGGTTAGTTTCCGAAGCCTGCCTTATTTAGACGTGGCTTGTGGTGAGCGCTGAGGTATCAGGCCTTGCGGGATTATGAGGAAAAAGCACGCGCCCAGCTACGCTGGAAGGTGGGTGATCTCGAGAAGAAATCGCTTTGCTATTGTTTCCGCGCGCCGCCCATCCCGATGATTGCAGTACTTGTAATGCAATGGCGCAGCGGCGGTAGGTCCTGTGATCTTCCTGGGTCCTGGCGCAGCCAAGGTGCGCTTCGTTGGAGGCAGAGCTGGACAAGAGGCAAAGATTCTGCTGGGTGAAGTTGCAGATCCTCGTCCACAAGTGCCTGAATCATTTTTTTGAAGTCAGCTTTGTCTCAGCGGGCCCTTCGGTATTCTTTGAGGCCCCGCCGCTCCCGAGTCCGACACGACACAGACGCAGGACGGGCGCTGCGTCCTGGGTGCTTGGTCATGATGAAGCGCTGAGTTGCTGTTGGTCAGGAGGGCCCCAGCCCGAAGGGAACCAGGCCTAACACCGAGCCTCCAGCATTGCTGCAGCCGGAGTGGAGTCCAACGGATGTGCCTTGCAAGGGAATCCTGAGGGCTCTCCCGCCTCCTGTCAGCGGCATGCCAATAGCAAGTAACGGGATGTTGGGCCTCTGTCAGTTTCCTGAGATTCGCAGTGAGGTGCGGGGCAGATCTTCCGCAACAGGAGGAGCTGCCTACGCGGTCTTTCTTTCGTCGTAACGCCCTCAACTTCTGTTGACCTGCGAGCAAGCAGTAGGGGTTGCCCGTGGGGAGCCGTCCAGACTCGAGCACAGGCAGCAAAGCTTGCTGCGACGACAGGCGCTGCAGAAATCACTGCCCGTTTTGGCTGTGATGCGATTCTCAGGTGTGCATGAAGGAAGCCATAGAGCGCAGGGACAAGGAGAGGGAAGAGGAGGAGAAGGCGCAAGCTTCGCAAAGATGATTCTCGTTTAGGTCTACATGCCGGATGATGAAGCCCCCATATCCAGACACCTGACTTTTTTCTACCTGCAAAATCGGATCAGTTTAGACGTTCTGCTGCATGACCGCAAGCCCCGCACGCTCCAAGGCGCCGTTGCCGGCGACAGGCCTGACTGTTGCATTGTTGAGAGCGCACCAAGATGGCATGTGTGGGGCCCCACCTCCCCAGAGACAAACATGTCAACCTGCAGTGTTGCTTGGCGCCGTGGGGACGCGCTCGGGCACCTCATTCAACCCCCCGTCAAATCTGGCCGACCATGCTGGGCAACCTAGTGCAGTCCTAGTGCCAACATGAAGGCAACCCCTTAAACAGGTTCAGGGTTTATGGGCTGCTGTTGCTGCTGCTGCTGATGCTTTTTCTGGATACTTCTGGAAGTCTATGTTGCTTCTGTTCTGTTTGCATCGCGTCGGTTCTCGTGGCTCTAAGTGCAGGGGGCAGCGGTTGATGCCCACGCCTTTTTCTCTGTTGAGAATTGCACATCTCACGACTTTCGGTTGTCAGCGTACCTGCGGCTCTATTACCTACAGCTCAATGGTCTTGCCATGCCATGTTGCAATTGCCAACATGGCAGGTCCCGCTGGAGCTTCCCAGTGATGTACAGTGGCCCAGCGAGGGCCGTGCTGAAGCCGAGAAGATTTTCAAAGAGACGCAGATGCCGTCGGCTTACGTGCTTTATGAACGCGTTGCAGTTTGTGTGGCGGCATACTGCAGGGTCCATATTGTAAGCATATTTGGAATTTAGGTGTGTAAGCTATGTAAGCTGCTGCGGTCCCGTCGCTCCCAAAACTACTTCCACTGAGCTTTGCCCGGCTCAGTCTTGTCCGACAGGGACGGGTCTGAGTCCAGTGCGCAGAATGGAGAACGTTCCAATTCCCCCATCCACAGGCTCAGAGTGTATGTCCATGAACAAATTGCGTAGGGGCCGTGTTGATCTTCGTAGGGGAAATTCGACACAGAGGGCAGGAGACGAACCCGTCGTTCCTTTTCGGGGAACCTTTGCGTAGGCTCGACGCATCTGAACGGAGCGGGCAAGAGAGCCGTCAAGCCCGTTTCGGCATTTTGCTTGCTAGAGCAAACCTTTGCCAAAAAGGCAACAATGCTACAGGGCATGGGCCTCGGCCTCAGCATTAAAAGCATCAAAGACGTGGGAATTAAATTGGCTTGGATTTTGTCCTTTTCCTTGGCAGCTCCATGCTTGTTGCTGGCAGGCTGCCTGCTTGACTTGGCATCTGGACGAGAATCCGGAGAAACAGGGCTGCCTCATGGGTTTCGCAGAATCGCAGAGCCGCGTTAAGCGGCAACAATTCATCATTGTCCGCTGCAGCAGAAGTCATCAAGTTTCTGCAAGCGCTCAAGGACTGGTGCTTCGAGAACCCTTGAGGCCCGCCTTCTTTTGAGTCAGAACCTGCGATGCGTTTGATGCGCTTCCCCCCCCGTTTCGCCCAAAGTCCAGAATGTTAACCCACAGCAGGCGCCGGCGCCCGCAGCCTTGACCCGTCAAATCTGGCCGACCATGCTGGGCAACCTGGTGCCAACATGTAGGCAGCCCTTCGAACAAGTTTTGGGTTCATGACTTACTGCCCTTTTTGCGCAGGGATGGCGCTGGGCTACTTGTGAGAATCCGTGTTGCCTGCAGCTAAGGCATCAGACTCGCCCTCCGTGCAAGTACTGGGACCCTTTAATGCTGCATCAGTCAGAGCCCCGTGCCGGGCACAAATTCCCAGCACTTCCACATTGGCCTCGAAGCTGCCTCGGAGCTGTGCCGCCACTTCAACACGACAGCGATCCCACGAAAAAAGTGCTTGGAGCCCCTCCTCAAAGTTTGCAGGCAGGATCCCAGGGACCCGCTTGGCGCAGGGCTTGCATTGGTGAGCAGTAGTGCAAGGATCACAGTTGACAATGGATTCGAGCTAGGATTCCATGGTCTTCGTTGCGATACACCCGCCGTCACAGCCAAGCTGGGTACGAAGAAGCTGATACGTGTTGTGGTGATGGGGACTGTGCTGGTGCAGGCCACAGATCACAAGTCCCAACAGGTGGGATAATCCTTGTTGTGGCCTTGACAGGATGCCTTTGGGGTCCAGCTTGGGCACCCTCCTCTCAAGGCAGCCCAAAAATCCTTACTTGTCATATCCGATTAAACATGACCCCAGATCCCGACCTGACATGATCCAAAATCCCGACCTGACAGAAACATCACAAAAAACAGAGCTCTCGTTTTTCATATATATATATATTTTTAATACCTTTTTCTGACCAGATCAAGGCTAATCCATAATGCTTACAAGGATTCTGGATTGCAAGGATTTATGGATGAAAAAATGACCTAGGTTTTAAACCTCTAGGTTTTTACCACAGATGCTGAACTAAAAACAACTAGAGCCATTATAGGCTCAGGGGTCAGGGTTTGGGGCAAAGCTGTTTCAGCTAATCTAGCACCAGAAGCATTTGCTTCCAGTGCCCCTACCAACTTGAGCTGGAGGAGGACGATAAGCAACTATTGCGAATAATGCTCCTCGGCCTAAACCTACCTGATGAAGCCCCTCAGTCTAAACCTACCTGGTAAACTAGGGGGCCCGAACAAAATGCAACCATTGCGAATTATGCTCGTCAGCCCAAATCTACTTTGAATAGGAGGTAGGTTTACGCTGATTATTCGCAATAGTTGCCTTATATTCCTCCCCCTTGTAGAGAAGGCTGCACTCTACAAGAGTTCACGAGGGCCGTGCAGAGCACCACACACCTACTTCTGAGGGTGGCACAAAAAGTATAAACACCCTAGAGCGATCCCACAGAAGTGGCTGTTCCATCGACAAACTAAAGTAAAACCTTGATGCCAAAAAGAGGCACAGTTCCTTATAGGTACGACCCTGCACCGCTAAGGTTCAGCGAGCCTAAGCAACGCAAG